CTTAATAACATTTGCTGCCTGTGGCTTAATTATCATATTTTAATGGACAAAATAAGACATTTCATCTATACACAATCTACTTTATATTCATTCTCTCATCAATAAATACTATGATAGCAAGTCCCTGGGCTCAATATGCCAGGCTCCAAGCATCTTCCTAGCAGATGTAAACCTTTAAGCCTTTAAAACCCAACTTGAAATATTGATTTTCTTTTGAAGTATGATTTTTCACTTATTTTAGAAGAAAACAACCACTGATAATTGATGGAGTGTGGGAATTATGTAAGTATGTCAATAATTACCTAATTCAAATTTTTGTGAGCTTGAAAATGCTTTTCAAAGAGATATCTTTTATTTAATGTGTTCAAAAAGGAGAAATAGAAAGATGAGAGAAAGGGAGGAGGAAATGAGAATGTTTGGGGAATTTAAATTTTGAAAGAATAAAAACAGATCATGCTGGTTATTTTATTTTTAATGACATAATTAGTTTTTTTAAAAAATTACACAGGTATATGTAAAAAAGAAATAGAAATCCTTCTTTTAAAATCAGTACAATCAATATTAATTGTTATCTCACTCAAATCCCAAGTGGCCAAAAGCAGAAATCATTGTCTTGGTGCTGAAGCCAAAAGGTGGCTGTAAAGACCATCTACATTGTTAAATCAGCGTGTTTAAAGTCAATCATTTTGTGTTTTGTCAGTGGACATGGTGCAGTATAACTGACATTTCCACCTTTACCATCACATGAATAAGGGGGAATTGATGTAAAATCTGAAGGTGTATTTTTTTTCTTGATATTTGACTGTGTTGTCTATTGGAAGGTACTTAACTTTTTAAGTTATTTTAATTACTAGTTTGCATGTTATCATTCAACAGAAATGACAGAAAGACACATTTGACAGTTATCAATTAGCAACTCTTTGTTTAATGCCATACTCTACAGGTTCTGAGGTAGATACAAAGGAACCAATTAAATTTATTAATATATTCAAGGTGAGCTGAACACCATCCTTAATAACAATAACCTTAATATACAGCAGAAATAAAAATCTAATAATCAAATATCTACTAAAGGAATAATCTAACAATCTAAAGCCTGTTAATAATCCAATAATCTAATGGATATTAATACTGAATAATCTAATGCAAATGAGGGAATAAAGAAATATCAACAAATAATTCAGAGACAGGTAGAGGTAACCAAAAAAATCAGGAAAAGCTTCTGGGAAGGGGTTTGGTGCCAAAGATCACAGCAAGGACCAAAAGACTCAAGAGCCGCAGTTTCCATGGACGTACTGCTCACTACAGAAGACATGCAGGCTATCATTTCTAATGGCTAGGATAATTCAGAGCTCTAACTTGGCTTCTCAGCCTCAGACCTCCCATTTGTAGGTGAACTGCACATTCATACTTTACCTTTCTAAGTGTAATTTTCTAAATGAAACAAAAAGCACTGGATTGTAAATTCAGAACTTTGTATTCTCTTCTCTCAGTAATGTTTTTCATTCTAATAAACTGGCATTTTGGTTTTGTACATTAGTCCCTTGTTAGTTCAACTTGTGTGAATCACACCCTAGTCATTATTAGTTGATGATAAAGGTAATTTTATAAACTTGAAACTGTGAGGATCTGGGTAATATGAATTATTTCTGAGAAATAAAATCATTGTACTAACTAATGGTTAAAATGACCTCATCTCATTTCTATATATGCATGCGATACAGCTTTCTAGGAACAGGTGAGGGCCTAAGGAGAAAGCCTGGGTTCCAATCTCACTCCATCATTTGTTAGCTGTGTGATCTGTCAGAGGAGACCTCAGGTAGATTAAATTACAGTAATGGAAGGTCTCAACACGCTTACATTGAAAAGGGGTGGGAGCATGAAGGTGTATCTTACTAACCCTTCTCACAAGCTCATTGTTAACATAAACAATGAATAAGAAAGGGCTTTGAAAACTATAAAGCCCTGAGAAGTAAAAACTATTATTAAGGCCTTATTATCTTACAAGAAACCCATGCCAAACCGTCTATTAGTGACAGCACCATGATACTTTCCACAGACAGAAGAAAGTCAATATTGTAATAAAGGTTAAACTTCTATATTCTCTATTGTGCTTCCCATGCTGACAATTTCTTTCTACAGACCAGACCTAAACAAAATTTGAATTTGTTCAGTTCTAAGAAATCTTGTTTTCAAAAGCTTCCAGGATAAATCTAGCTTAAAATATGGTTGTTTCCAGTATACAGCTACATAAATGATGAAATGAGGTCAGAAAAGGGTTTCTAATTAAGCATAATTATAAACTTTAAAAGATATCCAAAGCATAATATCAAAATAAAAGACAACATTATTAGGTTATCACTGCCCCAAGAAAATGCTTCATCTTTAATATTTCCCATCTTCTGGTTAACATAGAGGAGGAGATAGGCTCTTCTCTGTTCAGCTGGAAAAATGGATCCAGCTCATTGATTGGCAAAGGTCATAGTTTTTCATTCTCAGCTAAGTGGTTTATGGGAACATACAGAAGCATATTTTGTACTTTTCACCTAGGCTATTTCTGCTTTAGACAGAAAGAGGAAATAGGTTTCTATATTCATTTTATCCAGTTGCCTGTCCCATATGCCTCCCTATGTGCTCTTATATGGAAGGTGTCCAACTGCTTACTTGTGTTTTTCCCCCCAGACCAAAAGCTTACTAAAGGAAGTGACCATATCTAAGTCATCTTTCTTTCCTCTAGCTATTAACTTCATAAGTGGCACTCAGAAGATGCTCAATCAATGTTGACTGAATAAATTAAAGGATAAGCTACAATTACAATAGATAAGACTTTCTTTAGATCTTACACAAATACAGGTAACACACACGAGACTTATATGAGTTAAAGCACTTAAACTTATCAAAATTAGGAAATTGAACAAATGAATTACTTAAATTGTATGTAAAATGATGCGTATGTAAATTTATTAATTAATCAAATGCACTTAAGAGTTTGTTCAACACATTTCTTAAGCATGTGCCTTTTAAGATCTAAGCATCTTAGGGGCCGGGGATTTAGCTCAGTGGTTCTGCTGCCTGCCTCGCAAGCACAAGGTCCCAAGATCGATCCCTGGTACCAAAAAAAAAAAAAAAGATCTAAGCACCTTAAGCATTTCCTTCTAATTACCAACCCCAGGAGCTGAGGATACAAAGTCAGGCAAGTCCTTGCTCTCAAGAAATTTGGTGCCTGATGAAAGAGTCCAGGAAGCAATCTGACAGAGGTGTGTACTAGGGCCAGGAGGGGACGGGTAGGTCGCTCAGCAGGACTGGAGGGAGGGGTTATGTGGAAGGAAGGCTTCCAAGAGGAGAGATGTTTGAAGTGAGGTTTGAACAGTAAAAGTTCCTTTAAAACAAAGAAAGAGGCATACCAGGAAGAAAGAACAGGAGACAAGATGAATACCTTTACCAATAGAGAGGAGACTGCACACAGGAAAACATCAAAAGATGGGGTAAATGTGGAGAAAAACTAGGACCCCAGGTTGTGGAAGGCTTCATAGGCTGAGGAGGATGCATCAGGTATCTTCATAAAGAAAGCACTGCATTAGTTCTATCCTCAAAGGGCTTAGAATTTACTTAAAGTAGATTAGAAGACTACCTGAAACATTCATTAAAAAAACAAAAGAAACTGTAGTTCAGCAAATAGATATAATAATGAAGAAAGTGGCAAAAATACTTTTAATTCATGGTAACTTAGTAGTTATTTGAATATCCTGATTCAATTTTTAAAATCAGATTTCTGAAAATAAAAGAGGCAAATCAGGTATGACTTTAAATTGTAAACTTTAAATTTAAAATTTTGAGAAACAAGAATTTTCTTTTTACTTAAAAGAATAGTATTTCTGGGTCTCCATAGAGACCACATCTCCAAGGATATTTATGTCTATCACTGAAGCACCAACCTCATTTTATCTGCAGTCAACAATGGTGTTTTAAATGTCAATACTGGGCAGAGATGAAAAGGGAACAGTATTCACAGACTATTATTAGACCATTATTGCTGAGAAGCAACAAGCTGCAGGAGGAAAAACCTACCTGTGTCCCCACTTTCCTGCACAAAGTACAACTGGGCAAAGTACACACCTAAAAGTGGGTTGCTGTTTTAAAACACAGCACATATCAAAATGGCAGTTTGTTTTCAGATTAGTTTTCAGTGATAAAGGCTTTGGTCCATTTAAAAGACAGAATATCTAAGCATCTGATTTACTGGTGTAATAAAGTTGCTTCTTCACTGTAAGTGACTAATGGAACATAAATTATTCGCCAGGATAAATAAAACAGTCAAACATTAATCTGAATTTCAGTTAAGAATGATAATATACTGGTTCATCTACAGTATGTTAATAAGTTAATATCTTTCAAATACTGCAAAATTCAAGTGACTTTAAACAAAGGAGACTATGGACAGAAGTATGGATGAAAGTGGGAAATCCAGCTAATACTACTATTTGTAGTTCATTTAACAATCATTTTATAATTTTGCCCCTAAAAGTTATCTCCTAAGAACACAAGGAACTACACCCTAACTCATTTGATTGTAACAGAATAGTACCATTTATTTATACCCTTGGCATTTTGCCTTCTTAAGAGGAAGAAAAAAGCCATCATCCTTGAAAGGTTGTTTTCCCCTCTAATTATTAGAGAAAACAAAAAATACACTAAAATTTAAAATATTAAGCAAGTAAAAAGTTGCAATAACAGAAAATTCTGGACATATTTATTACATTTAATGAAACTTCAGTCTTCTAAAGATTAACTTTGTCAACCTGTCCAATGTCTGGGCCAAGAGCTCTCAAGAATGGTCACAACAAGCTCAATCATCAGAACATACTGAAGTAACTGTAGATTCTGTGAGAGTATAATTTACATAGGAAATAGAGATAGCACATGGGTATTAGTTATGGTTATTTCCTTTGCACTAATAATTTTTCTCTTCTTTCATTTGTTTTGTATTTTGTTTCACTTAGCATAATGCTGCTGTTCCTGCAATACTGAAGAAGCATGGGATCTGAATAGCACAATCCTAAATAAATGAATTGCTCAATCTCCTGTGATCATCTATACATACACCATCCTCAAAAAGGACATCAGTATTCTACCATTAAAGAAACAGTGACCTTCTATTATCCAATATGCATGACACTTTTGGCCAATGCAATTGTGGCGCTCACACTTATATCCACGAAGAAAAACTCCGCAGTTCTTTGGCATTCATCATTTGACAAATGCAAGTATTTTCTGTATCATTCAGCTCTTACTGAACTTACTAGCAGTGACTGTGGAATCCTTAAGGGCCTGTTAAATTTCTGAAGAAGAAAGCTAAGATGAAGGACATGCCACTCCAAATTCATGTGCTACTTGGCCTAGCTATCACTACACTAGTACAAGCTGTAGATAAAAAGGTGGACTGCCCACAATTATGTACATGTGAAATCAGGCCTTGGTTTACACCCAGATCCGTGTATATGGAAGCATCTACAGTGGATTGTAATGATTTAGGTCTTTTAAATTTCCCAGCCAGATTGCCTGCTGACACACAGATTCTGCTCCTACAGACTAACAATATTGCAAAAATTGAGTATTCCACAGACTTTCCAGTCAACCTTACTGGCCTGGATTTATCTCAAAACAATTTATCTTCTGTCACCAATATTAATGTAAAAAAGATGTCTCAGCTTCTTTCTGTGTACCTGGAGGAAAACAAGCTTACTGAACTACCTGAAAAATGTCTGTCTGGTCTGAGAAGCTTACAAGAACTCTATATTAATCACAACTTGCTGTCTACAATTTCACCTGGAGCCTTTATTGGCCTACACAATCTTCTTCGACTTCATCTCAATTCAAATAGACTACAGATGATCAACAGTAAGTGGTTTGATGCTCTTCCGAATCTAGAGATTCTGATGATTGGGGAAAATCCAATCATTCAAATTAAAGACATGAATTTTAAGCCTCTCATCAATCTTCGAAGTCTGGTTATAGCCGGTATAAACATCACAGAAATTCCAGATAATGCCTTGGTGGGACTTGAAAACTTAGAAAGCATCTCTTTTTATGACAACAGGCTTATTAAAGTGCCCCATGTTGCTCTTCAAAAAGTTGTAAACCTCAAATTTTTAGATCTAAATAAAAATCCTATAAATAGAATACAAAGGGGTGATTTCAGCAATATGCTGCACTTAAAAGAGTTGGGAATAAATAATATGCCCGAGCTGATTTCCATCGACAGTCTTGCTGTGGATAACTTGCCAGACTTAAGAAAAATAGAAGCTACTAACAACCCCAGATTGTCTTACATTCACCCTAATGCATTTTTCAGACTCCCCAAGCTTGAATCACTCATGCTGAATAGCAATGCCCTTAGCGCCCTCTACCACGGTACCATTGAGTCTCTGCCAAACCTCAAGGAAATCAGCATACACAGCAACCCCATCAGGTGTGACTGTGTCATACGTTGGATTAATATGAACAAAACCAACATTCGATTTATGGAGCCAGACTCATTATTTTGCGTGGACCCACCTGAGTTCCAAGGCCAGAATGTCCGGCAAGTGCATTTCAGAGACATGATGGAGATTTGCCTCCCTCTTATAGCTCCCGAGAGTTTTCCTTCTAATTTGGATGTAGAACCTGATAGCTATGTCTCCCTTCACTGTCGAGCCACTGCGGAGCCACAGCCTGAAATCTACTGGATAACGCCTTCTGGTCAGAAGCTCTTGCCTAATACTCTGACAGATAAATTCTATGTACATTCTGAAGGCACACTAGATATAAATGGTATCACCTCAAAAGAAGGGGGCTTATATACTTGCATAGCTACTAACCTAGTTGGAGCTGACTTGAAGTCTGTTATGATAAAAGTAGATGGTTCTTTTGCCCAGGATAACAATGGATCTTTGAATATTAAAATAAGAGATATTCGGGCCAATTCAGTTCTGGTGTCTTGGAAAGCAAGTTCTAAAATTCTCAAATCCAGTGTTAAATGGACTGCCTTTGTCAAGACAGAAAATTTTCATGCTGCCCAAAGTGCTCGAATACCAGCTGATGTCAAGGTGTATAATCTTACTCATCTGAACCCATCCACTGAGTATAAAATTTGTATTGACATTCCCACCATCTATCAGAAAATCAGAACACAATGTGTAAACATCACCACAAAAGCTTCGGACCCTGACCAAAAAGAATCTGAAAAGGGTAATGCCACAATATTTATGGCCTGCCTTGGAGGCCTTCTGGGGATTATTGGTGTGATATGTCTTTTCATCTGCCTCTCTCAAGAAATGAATTGTGATGGTGGACATAACTATATGAGGAATTACTTACACAAACCAACGCTTGCATTCAGTGAGCTTTATCCTCCTCTGATAAACCTCTGGGAAGCAGGCAAAGAAAAAAGAACATCCTTGGAAGTGAAAGCAACTGTTATAGGTGTGCCAACAAATATGTCCTAAAACAAACAAACCAACAAACCTAAAAAACTAAACCTACTGCAAAGAAAAACTCAATATCGAAGTTGTGCTAAAAAAAATAGGAAGGAAATATTACTTTCTATAAAGAAGGCTAAGCTTCACCAATGCTGCTCCTGACCAATGGAAATATGTACAAGTTCAGCATTTTAATTAACTGGCTTCAAAGGGTACTGTGGCAACCAAATAATTCCATTTTCTAGAACTTTCATGTAACTTTTATGTCTGGACTACAGTTAAAGTGGACAAAAACATTTCTGTATTTTTTTTAAGTATATAAGAGTAGTTGAACTGAGCAATACCTCCTCCTGTGTTGTATTACACATATTAGCCACGAGTTTTTGCAGTGACCAGATAAAATTAATTGACACGTGGTGTAATAAAAAGGACAAATTCTGTAGAGTAGACACAGTGAGTATGTGGACCTCTTTTATAAGGAAAAATACATTTTGGATTAAAATCAATTGCTTTTGTCTTGTTTTGTTTATAAATAAAGAATAATTTCTGGGAAATGTCATCTGATCAGATATTCAAATTACAAGTTTTCAAAGCGTTTTCAATAACAAAGTTTGAAATGTTAAGGGTAATACACTTGTATTGGGTTATGTGACTACATTTTAATAATGCAAAAATGGAACTTAGAAAGCATTTGATCAATATTTTAAAAATCATAGTATTGTATTTAATACTTTAATTATTGACTGAGACACATATCCCAGGAAATTATACATTCACTTAAAGATTTTCTTAACAAGCAGCCTTGGAGTGGATTTAATTATTAAGTTCAGATAATGTAAATCCAATACCTGAGAAATTGTAAGTCCTATTTTAATAATTAATAATGGCACATCTTCAGGTTGCTGCTTCTGCAGAGAATATTACCAAATTTCAGTAGGACTTTAAATCTAGGTGTAGTTTTCAAATCTTTTGGTGATTTTTAAACACTTACTGAGCCTCAATAAAATAAGAAAATAATAATCTGCTATGATGCAAACATAGCAAGGGAACAACACATTCCATTTCAAAACTATGATTTTAGAATTTCATCATAAAATATATCGATTAGTAGAAAAAGTTTGTCAAGTTGAAATTTATGAAACTCTACTTTTACTTTGTTCATCCTTGTATAAAAATTATATAATTGGGATCATTCCAGAGTTTGAGGGGACAGCAAGAGGACAGTTTAACTAAGTAAACACTTTTGAAACTAATTTAGAATAAAAGAAAACAATATAGTGCAGTCCTTCAAGACTATATTTAAGGTGCCTAAATAATACAGTTTAAAAATTCCAAATCACTGAAATAAAGTGCCAAGAACTTTACTAGTTGTTTAAAAATATTATATAGAAAATGAAAGAACTTCACTTGGGGAAAAAAAACCTATGATCATCGAGAATTTTATTCATTTTTACAAAAAAACCCCAGAGTGTTAAAAATAAATGTATTTTTGTACAAAGGAAAACATCCTGAAATATTAGAAAACTGTGATAATAAGCCATAATTTTTAAAGGCAAATTGCTTATCTCTACAAAACTACATGGCTTCTATGTTAATTGCTGTTGTGTCTGCTAATAAGTGCTTAACTTTTCTTACAATAGCTTGCTGCATATCATCAACATGTCACTGGCCTGTAAGCATTTCCACTGTAGTCATATCAACTTATTTTTTAATATCAGACATTTCTTTTGTGATGGCATTGACAGTTTCTAATTAAATTCTAGCTGTTTTTGACAATGTGGAAGGTAATTGTTATGAACTCTTTAAAATGAAAGGACAAACTGTGTTAATTTCAACACAACCAAAATGTGGAACTTGCTAATTAATGTTTTTCCCAAACACAAATTTTACAACCTGATGAATCACTATCACACAGAGACTGACATTAGAATTCATCAGCAAGACATGCTCATACATCATGAGGATTTCAGCACCATTGACAGAGCTTTTTGGAGCTCAGCTATTTGTCAAAAATATATGGGCTGAAATACAACCTATTAGGATGCAGGCATTGTTTAGGTCAGCAAGAACTTGAGCAGGTATCTCCTGTGTTTCTTTTAAACTTAAAAACCATCACAAACATATCATACAGCTGAGAATGCATTTCAAGCTACCTATTTCCTATGAAAATTGTTATGAAATAAGCTCTCTGGCTAGACATCTAGTAGTGAGCAATGGAGTGAAGTATTTTTGGTACAGTCAAATAAATACAGAACCTCAAAACAAACCAAGATCCTACTTATTTGCTTAAATTTTAATCTAAAATAGCCAGGAAGAGAAAAAGACATTTGATTGAATGATAATTAGTCTTTCATATTCCCTATGATACCTCTTAAACCTCAATTAAAATTAACTAAGCAATGATCACAGTACCCAAAACAAATAACTTACAGCGTTATCGCACATATGGATGCACCAGTTGTACCAGAGAAGTTTACCTATGACAAACAAAATTCTAAAGTTTATACCTCTACAAATGCCAATTAATCAGATTATCTTGTACAGAGAAAGGTAACTTTCACAAAAATGATTTTTCAAGAATTACATATTTCTAGTTTACTCTTCAAAATAAAATTCCCATTTTCTGAAAAGAAAGAAGTCCAACTGAATATAAAAATACAATCATGCATTGCATAAGTAAGTTTCAATCAACAACAGGTTGCATGTACAAAGCTATTCTCACAAGACTGCAATGCAGCTGAAAAATTCCTCTCACCTAGTGATGTCCTAGCTATCTTCACATCATAGCACAGCACATTATTTACATGGTGACCCTGATGTAAACAAACCTACTGTGTTGTCTGTTGTATAAAGCTATTGCACATACAATTATATTTAGAACATAATACTTGATAAAGGTAACAAATGACTATGTTAATGGTTCATATATGTACTATACTTTTATTATTTTGGAATACAGTCATACTTATAAATAGTTTATTGTAAAACAATATCCATGTTATGCTGGCAGTAGCCTCATATAGCTCACGTTTACCATGTCTCTCTCTTGTTTTGTTTTGTTTTTTATGGAACTGGGAATCAAACTCAGGACCTTGTGCTTGCCAGGCAGGTGCGGCACCACTGAGCTAAATCCCAGGCCCCTATCATGTCTCTTGATTGCATTAGATGCCACATCAAGAGGCCTCTACCACCCAGGTTTGCTTAAGTACATTATATGATGCTCACACAATGCTGAAATCAATTAATGATGCATTTCTCAGAATGAAACATTGTTGAGTTAGGCATGACTACATATAAAAACAGTGTGGAGCAAAATGTGTTACTTGTTAGTAAATCAAAGCAGCGACATACTGTCACTTTCCTAGGGGGGAAAGAGATTTTAGTTTTTATTCTATTTAGATAGGAAGTTTTTAGTCAAAACTGTCAATAGACAGACACAATGTAGAAATGAGTTTTCTTTTTTTGTATTTAAGAAATAAAAATTGTAAGGCTATTAGTCACTGGAAAAGCAGGCTTGAACAGAAAAAATTCCCTTTCCCTACCTAATTACATATTTTACTGAATTTCATTCTGGTTCATTTTCTTTATCAGTGTTTTTAACAAATTATGTATGAACTGTGACACTTTGTAAAGTCTCAGCTTTATTTTATAATTTCATAGAATGATTATACTCAGAAAATCACAAGATTTTTTCTTGGTCTAAAAGTTTTAGTCATAGAAATATGTTGATGTAGAAACTTGTTTCAAATTTATTATTGATTTCTATTCATTATATGTATTTTAAATAGACTAATAATATCCTTAAAATTATTAAATCAAGAGGTCTTTCTATTTACTGTAATTTCTGATATAAAAACACAAATAACTGCTTCATTTCACCTATTTTAAACTTGGACTTTGATCACTCAAGAAAGTGGGAAGTTAAATTCAAGAAAGTCATTGACAGATATCTATGTATTTTCAAGAATGAGAATCACCTTGCTCTAATCACTAACTCTTATAAGATTTTCCACTACCTATGAAAGAAAACTTTGAAATTCTACTAAATGGAATTCTATTTCATTAGACTCTGTTTAACTGATTTAAAATCAAAGTGATATGTCAGACACTTATAAATCAAAAAATTGAAAATAATAATTTAAAAGTGTGTACTTACTAAAAGGAAAATTTCCAATAAATTACTCCTACAGCTATCAAAATATCAAGGAAAACTTTCTGATTATACACATCACCATTAGTGATACCTTGGTCTTCATCCCAATTTTGACTTTCCAGAATATGGGGGATAATGAATGGAAATTAAAGTCTGGCCCATAAATTCTGATATCCAATTTACCTATTCTAATATATATATTTTCAGAGGATTCTGAGTTTATCTTTGAAATAAGCCATATGTATATAACAACTAAAGGATCAAGAACCTCACAAATATATCTATAGAACTTTTTCTTAATAGCAATTTGAGGTCTTCAAATAAGCAACAAATTCAGTCCCAATATCATTTATGACTTTAAATTTATTGTGGGGTCAGCCAGAGTAACAAAAACACAGCAAAAAAAATTGTGGTTGATCTCAGTAAGCCTTTTAGAAGAATGAATTACAATTACATTAGGAGAACTCATAGTACTTTGTGTGATCATAGTTATCTTTTCTAAGTCTACTATATCTGCAGAAAACTAACAGCATTATGTAACCACTGTAAGAAAAATCCAGCTTCTCATTAAAACATATGGCTCAGTGTCTGGGGTTATTGACTCAAAATTCAATCGTGATACTTATTTATTATGTTTACCAACCTCTGGAACAAATAACAGAGTAAGCTTCAGACATAAATTGACCTTCCTAATCCTCACACTGAGAGATTCTGAGAGTAATAAAATAACCTCCCTGTTATTAGCAGTACAAGATTCAAGGCTGGTAAAGAAAGAAACAGTTCTTAAAATATCAGACATGCCATTATTAAAGCAATAGAGTCAAACACACCCAAACAGTTCCGTAAAAGATTACTATATAAAATTGAAATTCATTATCAAGACTGGGATTAAGATCAGATACCTCTGCTAAACATACTGTAACAATGGTTACAGAGAAGATTAGTCCTGTCTCCAAAATAACTTAAAGCCTCTAGCCTTCCCATGCCTGTTTTCTTCTCAGTTAATCAATAAACCAACATTTAATATATAACTTTCACATCGAGGTATCATCTTATCAATGTTTTCAAAACATATTCACATATAAAATTCATGAACTCATAGAACTATATGATGCCAACAAGATAATTTGAACTCTTAAATTTAAAAATAAAAATTCCTTCTACCCAGGGAAATGATATAGAAAAAGTATAAACATAGTAGGAAACAATACATTCACTTTGTACTAAATAACATTTTTCCATACACATCAATGGAAACTGAATGGCTACAGCAAGAAAAAAAAAAAAGAACTACAAAAATAACTGGGAAGAACAAAAAAAAACCCAAAAAACAAACAAACAAAAATAACTGGGAAGCAAAAGGAATTAGGTTTTCTTTCGGTGGACAATATCTGTTTCAGACTAGGTCCAGTCCTGAAGTGACAATGCAAATGTCTGAGTATTTTCCTGACACATAAAATTCATGGCATTTAATAAATATATTGTTAACATATTATATTTGGATAAATATAGAAAAGAAAGGAAATAAAGGAACAAAGGAAACATTGTTAAATGCTAATTTATGCCAGACTAACAATTTCTGATGGTCCTAGAAAATCCACTAAAAAATATGAAAAAATATTTTTAAATGAACATTTAACACCTAACTGTGCGGTAGGAATACTGATAGACTTTATACCTCTCTCATATATATGTCCATATGTATAAACTAACTTACATATGTATATAATTTATACACAAATTCATATATGAATAATTTATACATCAGTACATATTTATATAGAATTATAATTCAATTTATTCAATCCTCATAAAATCTCCGTAAGTTCAGTATTAACATTCCCATTTTATATATTAATCTCAGAGAACTTAAGTGACTTTTTCTTCAACATAGAGCAGAATGACCAAGACATACATCATGAGAAATAAAAAACACTTAAGCACTTTATATAAGCTTGCTATAGCTTACAAAAATAATTCATTGAATTGCCCATTAGTTCTAGGTAATTTAGGGGGAGGGAACAACCATCAATAGTATATGAGATTCATTAATTGTTCCTATTATCTTCTAAAGATTCCCATCCACATGTTGCAATGTTATATATATATATATATATAATATATATATATATAATATATATAATATAAGTTTTGCATCAGGAATTGGAGATAAAAGGCTTCAGTTACTACCTGAAAAGAAAAGGGCACTGGTTTATCAAAAAAAATTTGTTCAAAAAAGAATATATATGCATACTCTTATAAATAAAAATTTTTAAATAGGCATATTCACCAAGTACCTAGTAGGGGCAAGGCTAGGAACTTTAAATACTTTTTTCTGTATTTATTTCTACACATACATCCATTTCACAGTTCCAATATACAGTGGTACCTTGGTTCACGAACACTTTTGTTTGCAAAAAAATTGGTTCACAGACATAAGTGTGGGATGACAAACGCAACCATGGCCATCTTTCCCATGAAAACACAAAAGTGGCCATCTTTTCTAAAACCATAGAACAAATTAAGTTTGTGAATCAAGGTACCGCTGTACAAAGTTACCTTCGTTTCATTACAGAAAAGCACAGGTTGGTAAATTATCTGCAAAACCTGCTTTCCAACTCTCAGATTTCATTCATCATGCATAATAACCTGACATTAAAAGGTACATCCTGCATAAAGAGTAAAGTTGACAAAACAAGAGCTTCCCTTCAACCCACCGCCACCAAGCCCACTCTGTGAGGACTGGTACAACAGGCACCGGGGCTCAAAAATACTAGGGCACCTTCACACCAGCAGCCCGGAAGTCATTATGCTCTGACCGAGTCTGACTTTCCCGGCTGTCTTGAAATTCACTGCAAATCTTAGGTTCTCAGGAGATCGGTTTTCTGAACATTGTAATGCTAGAGAACAAAATAATTTAATATAGATGATGTGGATTGTTTATCAACAAACAGGAAAACAAATATAAAATTAAAATACCTTCAAATACTATGTGTTTAAAACCTTCAGGTGCCTTCATATGGTAAGTTGGTCATCCATACTTGCCAGGAGAAGAAACAAGGTGGTTCTTTAAAATAAACACACTCACTGCCTGCCTCACAAGCACAAGGTCCTGAGTTTAATTCCCGCTACTCCCAAAATAAATAAATAAATAGATAAATAAACAAACACATAATTGGGGCTGGAGATATAGCTCAGTGGTAAAGCATTTGCCTACCCCATGCAAGGTCCTGGATTCTATCACCCAGTACCACAAAGCAAAACAAACCCCACATTCATAGGTGAAGAACATTTCATGATATTAAATTAGCACGAAGAGATAACTTTATATCTACTAACATTCTTTGTTATTCAAAAGTATTAATTTTTACTTGCAAATATTTCAAAGTTACTATGTTAAGCTTTTGTTGTTTTTTAATGACTCATTTGTGTGGTAGACCTTCTTGAAAGGGATAAGATTTGGAAAATAGTAGCAGCAAAGTTTGAAGCACGGAGACAAAGAGTGGCCCATATTATCCACATATGCATTTTATTCATTCACTATTTATTGAGGATCTGCTACATATGAGACAATAATAGCTACTAAAGATTCAAGATTGACTGTGATAAATATCTTCTGACATCACAAAACTTACAGTGAAAAGTTACATATTAACAAATGAATATGGCAATTTCATACAGGGTAATAAATTACGAAAGGTATACAGACAACTTATACACATTTGGGGTACAGAGTATTTAAAAGGGCCCAATCTTTACACAATCTCCTAACTGCAAAGGAGATAAACATTGGGAGTAGACTAGGGATGGCCTGAAGAATTTTAATAGGATCAGTGTACTAAGTGCCTGGGAAGAAGTGCCAAAGGTGAAAAGAACAGGCATTGCTGGAGAATTTAAAATAGGGAGATGCATAAAAGTCATTTTTTAAAGGCAAGTTTATGTGTTGCTAACCATGGCAGAAACTCCTATCCCATTGGAAAATGACTATGCCAAATTTAAAACACCAGGACTAACTTACAAGAGGACAAAGACTTGTTTTCAATATTTCAATCCTATCTTACAATCCCATAGTTCAGCCATCATCTCTCATCTAATCCACCATAGCTAAGAATAGAAGTAGGAGCAAAAAACAGACATAGGCACATCTGGTGCTCATCTTCTTAGGCTTCTTGTACCCTGAAATCTCACAAAGGCACATACGTATACTCAGCACCTCACAG